TCTTAATAACTTAAGGTTTCTCTGGAGATGGGCTCTGGGTTGAAGTGGTCATTTGAATTTTTTTCCCTTTGGCCCAAAGCTGTAGTTGAACAAAATTGTTTTCCTCTGCCTTTCTCACTGCATTTTGAAATAAAAAAATCCAGAACATTGTTGCAATCCCAGATGAAAATCCAGCCTTGACCAAAAACCAGTTTCTCTTTGCATTAGTTTTAAACAAGAGCACAGGTGTGAATTCACCTTCATGCTGAGGCTTGTCAGAATGCTCTGAAACATGAGCTGCAGGGTCTGCAGAGGGTTTGCCTACACTCACCTGTAGCCCAGGATGGTGCAACCGGTGCAGCTCCAGTTTAGCTGGGAGTCTTGGAGACTGGACAGAAACTGCAAAGCAAAGAGTGATGGTTACACACTTACTGGACCTCAAGGAGGTGGCAAGAGATGATGCCTGGGATTTTGCTGGATTGTGGAGCTGTTGATGTATGGTCTCTTGTCTCTGTAAGCAAAAGCACCCATGTCCAGCTCATATGTAAACTTTTTCCCACCCTGGCTTTTAGGGCATGAGGTAGTACATCTTTTTCTTTATGCAAGGAATAGGCTTTAACACAAATTTCCCACTTCATGAATGTCTCTCAGGGCCCTGAGAGGGCTTCTCAAAGTGCAGTTCAGCCCCACAGTGTACCCTGCTGATGTTTAAGAATTCCTAGTTTTCCTCCTACCCTTGGCATAGAAATTCTGCTGGTGCTACCACTGCAGTATTTCACAAGTGTTTTTCCAGAAGGCCCAGATCAACTCACCAGCCTCTCAAGAGCAGGCGTCAGCACCCTGTAGTAGTCTGAGTTCTCCATCTGTAAGCTGCTATTGAACGTGATTCCTTGCAGCTCCACTGTGTGCTCAAAGCTGGCCTCTTCCGTGGAATGACAGGCTGCCAGAAGGGGAAGGTGTCTGTCAGAGGCAGCTTTCCTCACAGCTTTGCAACATGAATATCATCATGTCCTTCAAAACCCCCTGTTTTTAGCAGCTTGACTGTCCCTGCGCATCCCAGCTGCCTCGGGGTTGCCCCATAACGGGACTGGGGTACTCTGCACATTTGCAGTAATAGCATTTTGTACTGAACTTGTTTGAACTTGAAAACAGTGGACTTTTGTCAAACCTGAGACAGAAATTCATGAACAGATGAGTATAGCCTGGCAACCTGAAACTGGCCCTATCCTTGCAGGAACAGGGAAGGTTCTGCTGGGTACTGAAGCCACCTCAGAAACTGTAACTGTACAGGTGGCGTGTCACTCATGTCATGCTGGGGTCCTCACTGGGTGCTGGCCTGAGGTGGCATCTGGCTATAGGGCAGCTGAAGCAGCAGGAGAGAGGTGGAAGAGGGAGGGAGATGGTGGCCATGCTCTGGAGTGGGACAGCAAAACAGGCAATGCTCAGTGGCTGCAAGTGGTTGTGACAGGAAATGGCAGAAGCAGCAAGGTACAAGGTACAGTGCAAAAAAATTCAGAGTCACAGAGAGAGATTACAGGACAGAATCATAGAATCATGGAATTGTTTAGGTTGGAAAAGACCTCTGAGATCATTGAGTCCAATCATTTCACCAGCACTGCCAAGGCCACCATTAATCCATGTCCCCTAATGCCACATCTACATGTTTCTTAAATCACTTAAATTGCAGGCATGGAGATTCCACCACTGCTCTGGGCAACCTGTGCCAGGTCTGGACAGCCCATTCAGTGAACAAATTTTCATAATCTTCAATCTTAAACTCCTGTGGGCCACCTTGAAGCCTTTTCTTTCCTATCCTTGTTCCCTGGGAGCAGAGCCCGACACCCACCTGGCTGCACCCTCCTGTCAGAGAGTTGTGCAGAGCCAGAAGGTTTCTCCTGAGCCTCCTCTTCTCCAGACTGAGACCCCCAAGCTCCCTCAGTTGCTTCTGGTGCTTCAGCCCCTTCCCCAGCTCTGTTCCCTTCTATGGACACGTTCCAGCCCCTCAATGTCTTTCTTTTAATGAGATTTTCTGAAACTGAGCTCTGGATTTGAGGTGGGGCCTTACCAGTGCCCAGCACAGAGGGACAGTCACTGCCCTGATCCTGATGGCTACACTATTGCTTCAGCAGATCAACATCCCACCCAGCTTGGGTTGTCTGTGAACTGACTGAGGGTGCCCTTGGTCCCCACTGAGAAAGATATTTAACAGGGCTGGCTTCAAAGTGGCCTTGAGGAACACCACTGGTCACCAGCTGGATGTGACTCCATTCACTACCACTCTCTGGGCCTGGTCATCCTGCTAGAGCACACCCATCCAAGCCACGAGCAGCCAGTTGCTCGAAGAAAATGTTTATGGGAAATGGTGTCAAAGTCTTTACTGCAGTTGAGGTAGACCAGATTCAGACCCTTTCCCTCATCCATTAGGCATCTTGTCATAGAAGGACGTCAGATTGGTCAAGCAGGAAAGGAATAGAGCATATGTATCAGGAGACACTGAAGATAAAGTGCTCCAAAGTCACATATTGAGAACATGAGCTGACTACAGCCCTTGTAGTTTTTGTGCATTGTGCAGAAAGGCGTCTGTATTTTGTTCTCAGTAGGAGGCTTTTTGCTATAAGCAGTGCAGACCACTTCTCTTTTGGAGCAGATAAACTGAAAGAATGTACCTGGCTGCACACTCACCCAGCAGGATCCCCAGGCAGAGGGCTGTTGCACTGCCTGCCACGGCAGCAGCAGCAGTTACCTTCCAGCAGCAAGCTCCCAGCCTCCTCCTCTGGGTGCCTTGCCCTGGCTTTATCTGGTCCATGCTTTCTGAGCAGCTCTACAGATGGGCTCTGTGGTTAAAAAGGAGGAAAATGACAAGAGTGGAATGAAATCTGTCATGCCAGCTAAGGTTTCCCCAGGAGCATCATTGTCTGCTTCTGCTGGACCATTCCAACCTGGCTGTGGAAGTCTTGGCATTAGACTACTTATATCCCCAAGGTGCATGTTATATGGATTAAAACTCTTTAACTAATAAACCTCAGCCTGTAGTTGTTCATGAGGCAGATTCCAGGATGAGGTTTCATGTATGAAATGCTGGGTTCCAGGACAGCTTAGATGAATGGAGACGAGAGATCTCTGCAGGCTGCTCTTGGGATATCAGGTTTATTAGGGATGGAGAAAGCTCCTGCCTCGAGCTGCCAGACACAGCACGTGGTGAGGCGTGAGGTGATGGGGAGGGGAAAGACAAGAGGATGCTCTAGGAGAGGGTGGAGGTCCTATGAGGGGGAAGATCCAAGAGAGGGTCTGGCCCCTCGGAGACCCCTTCTCAGGGGGCTTCAAGGTGGACTGGAACAAGGCTTGGGCCAATGGGGTTACAGGCACTTGGTGTTTTAGGGGTTACAGGTGTGGGGTGAACTGTACATTTTGGGGGGTGAGATGGAACAGTCCACTTGGCTTTTGGACCTATCTGTAGGTATTGTCCAACCAGTAGGGGGGATTGTTTTCATCCTGGCTGTACTATTGTGACCGTTTCATATAGCCCAATGCTATTCCACATTCTTTGCAGGAATTCTGGAGGAATTATAAAATCACAGTGGGTGATTTTCCCCCCTCCCCAACCCCCCACCCCCCAATTTACAGCATTTAGCAGAAAGCTCCCAATGCCTAGTAATGCAGAGCAATCAATATGTCCTTTCCTTACAGCTTTGCTGCTACCCTGATGAGCAGATTCTCCTTCCCTGTGGCCAGCATTAGCACTGGTGCTTCCAGTATTTTGCCCCAAGTGGTCCTGTACCAGAAGCAAAGTCCCTTCATGTCACCTTTTCTGCCTCCACATTTTCCTTTGCTTGACTGGTTTCAGTATGTCAGTGTTTTTCATACACTGAAGATGCTCAGATGGGATATGGTGTCCCAAGTGTGTATTCAAAAATGCCAAAAATAGAAATAATATCTCTCTTGCTTTTTTTTTTTCTTCTGCACTCTTGCTAGTACAAGCCAGACTATATCTGGCCTTTATTTGCACATCATCAACAATTGTGTATAACTAGGAATGAAATCAGCCTATAATATACATAGTTATAACATCATTCAGACAAGTTAGTATCTGCAACAAGAGATACTGATGAGACAAGGAGGGGCACTGATTTCCTGTGGTCTTAATATTTCTCCCTCATAGGCATGAAGAAGATGTATAATGCTGCTGTTCAAACTGGCAGGTTGAAGTAGTCTCAGACAATTTGTGTGGTCAGAGTGGAAATCCACAGAAGTCCATTCCTCTTGGCCAAGGGTCCAGAGCTCCTCAGCTGCAGAGTGAATTTTCTGAGGATTTAGCCTCTAACTGTTGGGAAACTCAGATTTACAGGAGACACCAGAAAAGCCTAGGCAAGGCACAATCACCTCTCAAACTTACTCTGTCTTGATATTGACAGTGTCAAGAGTACAAAGCCCACACAGCTCTTCCCTCTTCAGTTCCGAAGTCTGTCCTGCCGAGGGACATCTCACCTGGTCACTTCCTATCCTCTCTGTGCTGTGAGAGGCTGGGCAGCCACAGAAGCAATTCCCCACCACTGTAAATCAGACTGGCACTTCAGAGAAGCTGCAGAGGAACAGCCTTTTCTAATGTAAATGCATCCAGCAATGAAAGGAAGAGGGGAGGAAAGGGACACAGGGAGAAGCAGCTCCCTGTTTCAGAAGAGCTTTTCAGTGTTTTCCAAGAGGCGTCAGCAGCTCTTTAAACCGAAGCTTCTAGATAAGAGATTTTAGAAGGTCACTTCTTTGTGAGGCAGCAGACAGAGAAAGGGGAGAGGGAGAGTCTGTCCAAGATGCCTCTTTTTTTCTAGCAGACATCCAAATATTCTTTTTCAGCTGTAACTGAGCCTGGCAGAGATTGGCACTGTGGCCCCCAGGTTCTGCTAACAATATCTCTGTTTGACAATTCAGCTCTGACTAAGGGGGGACAAGCAGGGAACCTTTTTTCCAGTGGTCCTTGTGGCCTGAATACATACAGATGAGGAATCTCTCCTTCCCTCTTTTGGTAGGTTTTGGAGTCACTGTCCCTCTGGCTGTGTGCTGAATGTGAGCACTCAGAAATCTAGTTCAAGTGTGCTGACCAGTGCAACAGTGGACTTCAGTGGACCTCAAAGGTAGGACAGATGCATCTGAGGGAAAAAATAAAGATTGCGGACAAAACTGGCTCTGGCTTATTGGGGTTTTTTTTGACAATACAATCTTAGTTGCATGTAAAAGTCATACTACAATAAAAGGTACTTGGAACCCTAGAAAAAAGTTTGTATTAGTGATTGCAGAGGCATTTTTACTGGAAAATAGACTATTTAGAGAAACGTTCTACTTCTCAAAACTTGTCTTTGCTCTCCCTTTAAGCATAAGGAAAGTTTATTTTCTTTTGGTGTCAGTGGTGTGAGTTAAAAAATAATTAAAAGGACATGTAAATGGAAAGGCCATTTTGCAATAGCAAAATAGAGATTACAATTTCTTTTTTCTGAAAGATAAAAAGGATCATCTATAAATGCATAGTGGCAAGAAGCTATAGGCAGTGAAAAATATTGTGACATAAAATCAGATGAGTGAAAAGTAGATTTTGTTAGTGGGGTAGAAATTTGTAGAGTATTAACAGTCATGAGTTTCCAATAGGAATACTGAGATGCAAAAGGACATTTATGGGTTTTTTGTCAGCTTATAAATTCTGAGTGGTTATAAAATATATGCCCTTGTAAGCAGGGCTAAGAGAGTCCCCACACCAGGGGGGGTCTCTCTTCTGTTGCATTTTAGCAGAGAAGGCATGTCTGATGTGCAGCACAGAATCAGTAAGAGCTGTCCTGCAGACTGTCACCGTCTCTGGTTGTCCCTGAGGATCTGCCACAGTGCAGGGAGTTGGCTACCACCCCTGGTCTGCTGCTGTTTGCCAGCCCAGGGTTTGTTTTCTCCACAGAAGTCTGAATTTTTCTCTAGGGCAGCCTTGAGTAATTCCATAGGATTTCCTTGGAAGATGACTTTTATTTCTCAGATAGTTCAAGTGTGGAAATTGTAAAATATAAAGTGATATTGTAAAAATATTCCTTTACCCGATTAGCTAAACTGTCATTAACACCCACTCTTCTCATCAAAGATGACAAGTAGCACACGTGTGTGTGTGTGTGTGTGTGTGTGTGTGTGTGTGTGTGTGTGTGTGTGTGTTATAGTGTGTGTATGTATGTGTGAAACCTTGTGAGTGTGATTTCACATGTGTGTGTGAATGTGTGACTGTGTGTGTGTGTGAATGAGTGTGTGTGTGATAGTGTGTGCATGTGTGTGTGAAACCTTGTGTGAGTGTGATTTCACATGTGTGTGTGTGTGTGACCTCACGTGTGTGTGAGATCTCGTGTGTCTATGTGCATGCACAGTGTGTGTGAGAACAGGCATGTGCATGTTGGGGGAATATCACCTGCAGGAGCAGCAGAGGGACAAGGCAGGGCCCCAAGAGAAGCACCCTGGTTGTTTGCCCGTGTGCTGCCCACAGCCCCAGCCTCGCTGGGGCAGGTGTCTCTCCAGCTCAGGTGATCCCACACACACCTGCAGGACTGGCCCAGTCCCCAGCACAAATTGCGCTGGCTCCTGTTTTCATCTAGAAACTATCTTCTTGTGAAATGCCACAGCTCCTGAGTCTAAAGCACAGTGCTGACCTCCCAGTACTGTGCTGGTGGCTGCCGAGCAAAGGGGCTGCTTTTCTTCATTCACCTCCACATACCCTGGCCTTCTTTCTTCCACTGCTTCGTACTTCTCTTCCTTCACCTCACTGTGTCTTCGCCGTCATGTTTTCACCTCCTGAGGCCTTCTCTTCTGCCTTCCTAGCCTTCTCCAATCTCTCTCTCATCAGAACAGGAGTGTTTACACGCCTGTCTTGCACTGCACTGCCCCAGGCTTCCTCCTGCTTTTCTCCAGCTTCTCCCATTCCCAGTCTGCCAGCCCCTGCCGGCAGCTCTTGACCATGGGGACACAAGGTGAGGTGCCCTGCTCTGAACTGTTGGCCAGAGGAAAGAAAGACAGGAAAGAAATAGTAGTAGTCGTGTTTTCAAAAGTCAACTTAATTTACACATAACAAATGCAAGGAAACCCTGATGTCCCTCGAGGGACAATGCAAGAAAACCACTCCCCCATCCCCACACAATCCCCTTGATGGTGAGTCTGGGCTGCTCTGGGGTCTTTGTGCTGCATTTCTGTATTCTAGCATGGTTGGTTTCTCCCGCACTGTGTTGATAAAGGGCAGCCAATATGCTGCAACCATTTGAATAACCAAGTGTTAATGGAATATTTGCTTCATCCCATAATGGGGTAGTGTGGCTTTAGCACAGCAATATGGTGTCTACTGAGCCTTCAGACACAGGTTGTAAAACTGTCTCATTGTGACCTGTAAATCCTCACCCAGACAGAGCCTTTGCAAAATGATGGCGCAGGTATGAAAAACAAAGCCACTTGCTCAAGGCAGACCACAAGCTCAGCAGCAGATCTGCCTGCAGCCTCAGCAAGTAATGAGTCTGTGGCCAAAGGCAAGTAAAGGACTATTGATTTTATCACCAAGATAAGACTTGTGGCACTTCAGAGGGGGAATACAGCAGAAGCCGGATATTTCTCCAGAAGGAGGTACCCCAAAATCAGAAAGCAGACTCCAATATGCCTCACTTGGCAGGTTCACCATCCAAAATCACAGCTGCCAAGACAATAAACCTTTGGTGACATATATATTTACACCAAAGCACGAGCCTTAGCAGGAGAGAAGACACTCATTTGCTGTAAGTGAGATGAGAAGCATGACCACAGGAGATAAGAGATGTGGGTGTGCTAACAGATCTGCTGGCAGAGCAAGGTGGTGGGAACAGCCAACCTCAAACATCTCTGTTAAAATGGGTCAAGCCTAGTGATTTTATCCTTACAGCTAGGAATTTAGTTGTATTGAAATGAAGCTCAGAACTTGTGTCAGGAGGTACTGAGAACGGTAGAACACTTTTGTAGGGGAGTGGATTTATAACCAGTGGTATTTATTGGGTGGTGGTGCAGTGCGAGGTCATGTTGGTCTGGAGAAGCCAAAAACTGTGTGCCAGTTCCTCCTTATGGCTCACTCTCTGAGTGAAGCCATAGAAGAGAGTGTTGGAATTTATCCCCTTAAACCTTCTGATGAGATAATCTTACATGAAAAAAAGCCTATGCAGAGACAGCAGCAGCTGGTCAAACAGATCAGAGGACAGAGCTCTCAGCATCAGAGGCAAACATGACCAGCAGACACAGGCTTGGCTACATGGTCTTTTGTTCTGTGTGACATGAGCTTCACCTACCACAACATTGGTTCCCTTGATCAGTCAACACAGCATTTCTCTAATCCTTTTTACTTTAACCCATCTCCAGTTTCTGTAATGGATGTATTGAGCATATCCACATTCCCATATGTCTGCAGGTTAACATTTAGAAGTGGTTGTGCAGCATTTAAAAGGCTAAACCCTACTTTCAAGCGGAAAGAAACTCTTGTCATTTAAGAGAGTGCAGATTGAGCTGAGGACACCTCTTATTATTAAGGTGAGTGGAAAGCCCTGACACTGCAAGCTCCCAGATCATGCAAGTGAGCAGATCTGAAAGCTCCTGCCACTCACAGCCACAGAGCAGTGCCACATCAGCAATGAGGATCCCTGCTCACCTGCAGCACTCATGGAGATGCATCTGGTTCAGCTGTAGTCCTGCTCCCAGCAAGCCAAATGATACTGTGCTGGCCTTGTTTATTGTCCCTCTTGGTCTACAAATGTCTCTCAATTTACAAGTAAGAAGATCCTCTCCCTGCCTGCCAGCTCAGCAGTCTCAGCTGGGGCATGACAGACAAGCTGAGCTCCCCAGTGCTGGTATTATCACGGGTAACAAAGGCTCTAACATCACTTCCACCTTGGAGACACTCAGTCCTGAGCTCTCTCTCTGGTAACAAAGTTCTGGGCAGATTTGTACCTGCAATTACTTCTTAAACTTGTAGCCATGGATTACACAATAAAATAAAGGTAGCCTTGCCCCCCTTACCCCCCCTTCCTCCTCCCCCCCCCCCCCCCCCCCCCCCCCCCCCAACTCCACAACTGTGCTGGCTTGAAAACTCAGCACAGATAGTAAATACTGAATACACATAGGGAGTATCCAGTAAACCAGGAAGTCCATGTTTGTCTGTTACTTTCCACAATAGGAGCACTATATAATTTGATCCTTTTCAGTTCATGAACGGCCAAGAAAAACTCACATGCTTAACTCGTGGCATTTCCTTCACGGACATTCACTCACCTCCCTTGAACACTGCCTAGCCCAGTGCAGAGGGTGTGCGAGAAACCTTGGTGCCAATGAAGCTGATGGACATATTGGGACCAGAGGCTCTTGGAGGAACAGGGGCTAAAGTAGAGGTCTTCATTTTGCAAATAATCACATTTTATTCTTTCTTACCAGCTGACATACATTAGAAGGAATGTATAAAGTACATTTTTACCTAGCTTCAGCTGTTGTTATTTATTGTCAGGTAGGCATTAGTGTTCATAGATAGGAAACCTCTAAGCTACCCTGAAATCAGTTACTTGCAATGCATGCTCCCTCAAAGGAAGAATTCACACAGAGAAACCAGCAAGTGATGAACGATATCAGTCAAGCAGTGCACTCACAGCCCCGGAGTCAATTGGAGGCCTCAGAGCGAAACTCTCCGTGTACCGACACGGGGCAGCGGCACATGCTGAGCTGCAGCACGGCGCTGCGTGCCCATGCACAGCGCGGCCAGCGCGGCCGCGGGACGCGCAGCGGCTCCGCTCACAGGGACCTCCCTTGCAGCATCGGGCAGCATCAGCGGCTGTGCCGGAGCTCTTGGCAGGGCAGCCTCAGGGCTGGAAGACAAGTGGGTGTGAAGCAGCGTGACTCTCAAGCCCTTCCCTTCAGCCATGGGAACAAAGAACCATCCAGCTACAGAAACATTTATTTAAGCTCAAATTATGGTGCTATTATAAGCCCATAGAGGTTGTTTATAAGAGTTTGTCCCATGCCTAGGTCGAAGCTGCTCGCTGTCACGGCTGTTTCACTCTTGTATTTCCTACATTGATAATATTGATTTTTTTTCAGCATTTAGGTCAAAGTTGCACTTTTTGTTTTCCATTAAGTACCCTGAGTTTTCTTTCTAGAATATTTCCTAATTT